CCCCATCCTATACTTGCACACATGATTTCTGAACCAAAGTGCAGTTTATACTTCAATCTCGTTAGATTCAGCCCATCGCTTTGGACTTCCAAGGTCATATTAGATCCTAATTCTGTCTCATGTACCCACCATATGTTTCAGTATCGCATTACTCTCCATCTGGATGTTTCCTCTGTAGAGTTTATTTTAGTCATTGATACGATGTTTATCACGAGAAGGCCACACTTTCACCAGGAAGCATCATCCATGCTGAAGACTCTCCTACCAATAACCTAGACATTAACTACCTACTTCTCCTTATATTGAGACTATATGTCTAAATACTGTCCAGAGAGATCATATAAATTATTTTCAAGTACTGTAACAAAATCCAGATCCAGTGACTTGTAAGGGTCAACGATCTTGAGTTTGTATTCACTCTTTAAACAAATGTGTATTGCATGTACATTTTGTACCAGGCACGATGCTGATCTCTGGTGACTAAGTCAGTAAGACAAGCCCTCACGGAGTTTACAATCTCATAGAGGGAGCAGACAATTACAGCTGATGTCACCACATAGTTTTATAAGCACGATAGGCAATGAGGGAACCTCGAAGGCACAGAGTGTGATTGTCTAAATCAGACTGTCAGGATTAAGAAAGGTTTATACTCCAATAAGGATTTTAAAAAAAAATAGATATCCACCTCGCAAAATGGGTTATGAAAATCAGTCAGGATTAAAATGTTATAGAATCTATAACTTAACCATTTCATAATGTTTAAAAAACAAACATAAATCTATCCTTGTACTTAGTATGTAATAAAGGAATATTATATGTAGCTGAAATTATGTTATTTAGGAAGCAAGGATGGCCTGGAGTCTTTTGCTAGTGTCTATTTGTGCATATATTAAATGCATTATGGTGTTAGGCGTCTGTGAATAATTAAGCAAGAGTCATGTGCAATAATTCAGAAATGATTCCATTAATGGTCAGAATTTTTCTGCATATTTAAAGAAAGTAAAAGCATATAAACATGTGTGTGTATATATATATGCATATACATATATATGCACACATATAGAGAGATTTCTGATTCAGTAGCCAGCATATAATTTTAATTTTTTGTTAATAGGTGGTGGAAATAGTAAACACTTTATAATATGGAAAAAAAAAAAAAAAAAGGTTTCCCAAAGGAGACAACAAAGTTTGAGTGTGTGGTCATTAACGGGACAGCCAGATTCAAGTGTCGGATGTATGGATGTGGTGCTCTTCAGAGAGATCTGGGCCAGGCACGCAGATACAGGAGTCGACAGCGAACACGTGGTATTTATCGCTGTGGATTTTCGTAAGACCACTGAGGCAGGGGTTAACTCATGGAAAAAGGAAACCTCTGGCATTTTGGTAAAGGGAAGGACACTTCGGAGGTGTGAAGGAGCAAAGCGTGTATGAGACTTCAGGAAGGGCGTGGCCAGGATGCAAAGATACAGCCAGGGGAGTCAGAGGCCGGTGCAGCAAGAGTCTTGTGTGCTGAGCCGAGAAATCAGAACCTTTCCCAAAGGTTATGGAGTCCCTCAGGGGGCCCTAAGCGCTGGAGTGGCTTGAGTACACTGAGCAAAATACACACTAGGGTCAGGGTGGGGTAGGAACTGGTGAAGGAAGCCAAGAAGAGGGAGACCAATAACGAGCTCACCAGAAAGGCTGGGGGGAGAAGTGACATTGGCGTCATGATGGGGATGGAAGTGAGGGACACGCTCGCAAGATGGCGCAGACTCTGAACGTGGAAGTCTCGGCAACGACTGGACTTGAGAAGCTAAGGTAGAAAGAGGGGGTCCTAGGTAATCCCTAGGATCTGAGTTTGGATGGCAAAGGATGCAAATGGAAACACTGTATTAGGAGACGTGGGGAGGATTTGTGTACTAGGGTTTTATCATTTTGAATTGAGTTTTAAGATCAAGATGGGATAACCAGGTAGAAATGGTGGATGTATGGGTACATTCTTCAGAGAGGCTGGGCTGCATGCAGCCCCTTAGGCATTAACAGTGCATAGATGGAGGTACAGCCACAGATTTGGACAAAAATCGCTGAGGCAGAATGTATAGGAAATCAGAAGACCAACAGATTCAGGTCAGTGTCAAATTCAAGCTTTAAAATAAAAAGCTAAACAGTGTCCAAGGACTTAATCTAAAACATAGCTTCAAATTTAAAGTTTATTGTGTATTCATTAATATATACTGAATTTCTAAAATTTTGGAACTCAAATTTATCAGGTAGTTTGTCAACCTGGTACCACTGCTCCAGTTACACACCAAAAAACAATGAACAATAGCATAAATTTATCATTTTTGAGCTTCTCAAAACAATTAAAGGTTAAAAAAATAATAAAGAGCCAGGGAGAGAGTATCATACGATTCAAGCTCCACATCAACCTAGAATACGAAGGGTCCTAAGTCCTTTCTACATTTAGAAACAGTTTTCCTCTTATTTCCAATCTTTGGGAAGAAATGTTACAAGCATAAAAAGGGAAGTTTCTGCTCCTGTTTACTACACGTGCACAACACATCAACTGCATATATCCGTTCAACACCATTGCTCTTCAACTCTATTCAAAAAAAATGTAAAGAAATCAGAACATCACTGGGCAAGATTTCACCATATTGAGGAGTGTATGGAAGCCTGTACGTAACTTCCGGGTTTTGTGATCTCAAATATTCCTCTTAATCAAGATGTTTTATGCTTAGTCAGCTTACACAGGATGGGCAAACTGGACCATCCGCTGAGAAACAAATAATCTGCATATTCCTTCTCAGCCCGTTATTGTAACTGAGATTCCCAACCTGGATATTCAAAGAAATTTAATACAATGGATCCAACAATAGCCAGAGAAAACCTTAGCCTTCAGAAGTTCAGTGACCATGAAATCAAAATTCTTAGTAAAATGCTCAAACAAAAAATATGCGAATGTAATTCTCCAAAGTACATCTACTTTTTAATAAGCTGGATTTGGGGCAGCATCACCAGGGCTACTGTTAATAAAGCTTTATTCAGTCTCATAATTGCAAGAAAGTAAGTAATATAATCAAAAATTGAAAACTGTGGTAGAAAATTTCAGAGATAAAACTTTAATTTCTCAACATACCTAAAACACTGCGATATGGGCTCACCACGTGTATGTTGGGCCTTCCACTTGGAGGTTTCCATATGCACCAAAGAGAACCTTCATTGTTTCACTCTTTATCTATCAGATTTAACGTTAAAAATCTGTCCTAACCAGAAACAGCCTAAGCATATACAGTCAGTTTACATATAAGGCAACAGCACAGTTCTGGGAAGAAATAGGATGCCCTCTAAAAGACTCTTGTAAGGTACACGGCAGCCATAAGGCTTGCAGTTGCCATATTCATTAAACTCTGAGAGCTAATGAGAAGGCCAAAGCATGTATTTGATAAGCTTTGTCATCTTTTTGTCTTGTCTGCAGATCATAGACCTTGCATTTTAATTTACTATACATAATGCTTTCTTAATGAGTTCCAGTGGATGGCCATTGAAACATGCTGGAACAGCTGCAGACATGATTATGGGGGGGGGGGCGGGGGGGGGGAGCAGGGCTGGGGCGAGGGAGACAGGAGCCCCACCAGCTTCCACAGAGAGCGGAACCCGACTGACCCACATAAAGTCCCGTAGGATCAGCGCACACATAGGATCAGCGCACCTTCAAGACAAATACAAGAGTTCACATCAATATGCCAAGATTTATCCAACAAAACGTTAAAATGAAGGATATCCAAAATATGACAAGGTTTCCTTATCCTTGGGAAGAGTAAGGCCTGACCATGTCCAGTTCCCGAAAACGCGAGTCCCCTGGTTGCAGCTCAAACACTCTTATCTGTGAAGATGAGTCACACTCAGTAGGGCGGATGGGGCCATCCTGTCACACCCAGAAGCCTGGCCCTGACATCAGGCTGTGTAGACTGAAAGAAGCAGGACTATTAATGCTGAAAACTAGGAGGTATTTCTTAACAGGGAGCTTTATGTACTACGGGACTTTATGTGGGTCACCATACGGTCCCCAGACCTTCCGTCTCACATATTCATACAGATGTCCATTCCGAAATACCAACTCTAATATCCTTTCTTTACAAAATTTACTTCCCAGAAGGTACCTTAATAATTCTTATGGAACATCTATGAAACTATAATAATCAATATTTAAGTAGTGATGATGCCGGAATAATGTTACCTGAGATCAATATAACACTTAGGAAATCTTAATGTAAAAATAACCAGTACCAGCAAATTAATTCTTACTCCACATTACTGCATATGTTGTAACATTATTACTTAAAAGCACATATTTTGTGAAGGTTATTGATTTATATACTGTTCAATTGTTCTAACTGTTGGATATTATTTACTGTTACTCACCAGTAATAATAACACTTTATTTATTTTTTAATGGAGTCCAAACCATAAAATTTTGTTGCTGTTTTTTTTCTGGGTGGGGAGGGAGTGGGAATTGGATTTAGATTTGTTTTTACAGGTAACTTCAAACTTAATGACATATTTTTTGAGAAATATACTCATTTCCTAAGATAAATCTTTTACCCAAAAGAACCCCATTGAAATGGAAAATGGATCTACCATGTAATTCTTCTCCTGCCGTGCCTTAATGTGAATTAAACAGACCTTAAAATCATAGCCTAGCAATCTGGTTTTGTAAATGAATATTCAATTTCAGTAGTATTTTTTTTTCTTAAAGTCAACTTTTTGAACTGGCATTTGCTCAAAGCAGGGAATCTCAGTAACCAGCGAAAGCTGCACATTCAGGGTAAGAAAGAAATAGAAACTTTTTTCTACTTTTATAAAAGATGTATGACCTCTTCACTCTGTCACTTTCCACCTATGAACCAAATGGGTGCAATTCTGATAGAGAAAGTTCTGTTGACATGCGTTTCAATAAAGCACTTTGATAGAAAATGCAATATTTCTCCGTATAAGAATATAAGACATGAAGAACATACGATGGGCATAGGTACTGCTTCTTTTTCCCCTTCCCTTTCTTTGAAGACTTCTCTTTAGAACAGCCTTCTTCAACACACAAGGAAATTAAAATAAAAAAGGCCACCGCCAACACAAACTTCATCTTGAAAAGTTAAATTCCAGGAGATCGATCTACAAGAAAGAACGAGAAAATGTTTACATTTATGAGGCAAACGGTAACTACACGACTCTTTAAGGAGTACGACCATTACTACCCACTGGACAAGGGTGTCTTGTACATCACGTTCTCATTGCAAACACGTTCTCGTGGCAAACACCTGTCTTGCCTACGGGTGCAAACATTAAGATTTTATCATATTTTAGGGCTTCCCTGGTGGCGCAGTGGGTGAGAATCTGCTCTGGGTGGGGAGGGAGTGGGAATTGGATTTAGATTTGTTTTTACAGGTAACTTCAAACTTAATGACATATTTTTTGAGAAATATACTCATTTCCTAAGATAAATCTTTTACCCAAAAGAACCCCATTGAAATGGAAAATGGATCTACCATGTAATTCTTCTCCTGCCGTGCCTTAATGTGAATTAAACAGACCTTAAAATCATAGCCTAGCAATCTGGTTTTGTAAATGAATATTCAATTTCAGTAGTATTTTTTTTTCTTAAAGTCAACTTTTTGAACTGGCATTTGCTCAAAGCAGGGAATCTCAGTAACCAGCGAAAGCTGCACATTCAGGGTAAGAAAGAAATAGAAACTTTTTTCTACTTTTATAAAAGATGTATGACCTCTTCACTCTGTCACTTTCCACCTATGAACCAAATGGGTGCAATTCTGATAGAGAAAGTTCTGTTGACATGCGTTTCAATAAAGCACTTTGATAGAAAATGCAATATTTCTCCGTATAAGAATATAAGACATGAAGAACATACGATGGGCATAGGTACTGCTTCTTTTTCCCCTTCCCTTTCTTTGAAGACTTCTCTTTAGAACAGCCTTCTTCAACACACAAGGAAATTAAAATAAAAAAGGCCACCGCCAACACAAACTTCATCTTGAAAAGTTAAATTCCAGGAGATCGATCTACAAGAAAGAACGAGAAAATGTTTACATTTATGAGGCAAACGGTAACTACACGACTCTTTAAGGAGTACGACCATTACTACCCACTGGACAAGGGTGTCTTGTACATCACGTTCTCATTGCAAACACGTTCTCGTGGCAAACACCTGTCTTGCCTACGGGTGCAAACATTAAGATTTTATCATATTTTAGGGCTTCCCTGGTGGCGCAGTGGGTGAGAATCTGCCTGCCAATGCAGGGGACACGGGTTCGAGCCCTGGTCTGGGAAGATCCCACATGCCACGGAGCAACTAGCCCCGTGCGCCACAACTACTGAGCCTGCGCGTCTGGAGCCTGTGCTCCGCAACAAGAGAGGTCGCGATAGTGAGAGGCCCGCGCACCGCGATGAAGAGTGGCCCCCGCTCGCCGCAACTAAAGAAAGCCCTGGCACAGAAACGAAGACCCAACACAGCCAAAAGTAAAAATAAATAAATAATTTTTTAAAAAAGATTTTATCATATTTTAAGCTTATTAAATATATTCAGTATCATTTTCTATTCTTTCTCTTCTGAAGAAAAAACTCTGTAAGTTCCATCTTTGACGTCCACTTTTAGACTTTTAAAATCATATCGTGTGTTTTCATGTATAATCATGTATAGTGTCTGTGATCTGTTTTACTTGCATAAATGCTACTTGGCTTTAAAAAAAAATTCTCATTGCTCAAGCCTACGTGGTTATACTTTACTATACATTTTGTGATGGTTTCATAGTAAAAGTTAGTTTAAATAATGGTTCGTAGAAAATAAGACCACTATGAGGAATACAAGGTAAGTATGCAAAAATTTCTACTGTACAGTTTCATAAAATTGTAAATTGATATTGAATTGCACAGTATATCAATATACGCTTAGAAAGATACATGGAAAGAGGTTTACACGGTTTTAAGATGGTTACGTCGTACTAGGCCATTTAAATCAGTGTTTTGTTTTTTAAATTTCCTCTGTCCTTTGACTTTCCCATGTATATTTTTTCAAAAACAATAAAACTATTCTCGAAGAAAAGATAATTCTAAGTATTAAAGGACTGATAGAGAAAAAAGAAAAAAACTATTATCAAAGAGTTTCACTGTCTAAATTCATTGTTTTTATTTGTGTACATTAAATTCGCAAGTTACCTTTGACCCAAAAAAGGTGCTCATTGATTTAAGTTAGCTTTTGGCTTTCCCACTCACGTGATACTGACATTTATCATTCAAATGACGATTTCTGACTCCAGAAATTCTAGGCAACATTGTATGAAATAAAATAGCAAATATAGTCAAGCCTTCTTCAAATACTCTCCTTAGCTGTATTTTAATAACATTTTCCATGCTCCAGGAGAACTACATTCTTGCCTATCTGATGCATTAAAAACAAACAAACAAAAAAAAAACACCTTTAAGCATCTCCTAAACCCTGTAGTATTTAGACCTCTTCCGCATCTTTAATTCCCAAACCATAAACAGTGTCTCCTTCACTGTTTCCTGCACAGGAAGAGACCGGTCTACTCAACGTTCACGGAAGTCCCAGCTCCCCCTCATAATTTGGCTTCTCCTGTGTCACGTTTTTCATCTCTCTTCCTCCCGGGAAGTCTGATCTTCTCACATTTCTCCTTCGCAGCCCTAAGCAAGCAGGAGGGGACGCCTCCCTGGTCCTCTCTCCCGAAGACGACGGAGGGGCTCACCAGGCCCACAGCTGCCCGCGGTCACCTCGCAGCACTGGACTCCCTGCCCCGCACCCCAGCCAGCGGCGGCGTCCGGCCCCGACACCTGTGCCCACGGCCTCAGGGACTGCGCCCGCCTTCCCTCCCGGCGCCAGGAAGCCCGAGGCCGTCCTGGAGGTCTGAAGGGCGGAGAGAGAGATGCCACCCCGTCCCTCTGCGTCCACCCACACCTCCCGAAGGGGGCAGCGGCAGGGCTGACGGGCCCCGAAGACCAAACGCCGCCGACGGCACCCCTGCTGCCAAGCCCACCCCCACCGCGGACTCGCGGGAGGCGTTGCGCCTCCGCCTCCCGCCGCCGTGGCGCCCCGCGCCCAGGCCCGGCATCGCCGCAGGGGCGCTCATCCCGGACCCCCGCGCCGCCCCTCCCCCCGGAGCCGACCTACCCTGGCGCCCCGCCCGCAGCCCCGGAGGACGCGCGCTCTGGCCGGAGGCGCTGGTGCGGGGGGAGCGGCTGCGTCCCGTCCCCGCGTCCCCGTCCCCGCGTCCCCGAGATGGGCTGACGCGCCTGCTCCGGCCGCCGAGCCTGCGCCGTGTGGTCCGCGCCTGTGCGGTCGGGACGCTGCGCTGCCGCGGAACGGAGCGTGGACGGCGTTGGAGACGGAGAGGGGCACGGCGTTGGGGACGGAGATGGGGACGGAGTTGGGGACGGAGATGGGGACGGAGTTGGGGACGGAGTTGATGGGGACGGAATTGGGGACGAGTTGATGGGGACGGAGATGGGGACGGAGTTGCGGACGGGGATGGGGACGGAGATGATGGGGACGGAGATGAGGACGGAGTTGGGGCCGGGGCCGGGGAGGGCCGGGGTGTCCCGGCCGCGCGAGCGTCCCCTCCCCAAGTCTAGCTGGAGAATGTGGTCCCCGCCAGGGGCTGGAGATGATGCGGGCGGGGGTGGTGAGGGCAGGGTTGGATCAGAAGGAAAACCCTTTCAAGGAGCTGGAATCGTTTAGGGTCTATTTTTGACCATTAGTTTGAAAAAAAAAAACCAAACAAACAACAACAACAAAATAGACTAACAAATGACCTTCTTGGACCAAAGCGGGTAACATACATTTTCTGTGCCTTCATCGTTCGCCTAGTCTCCTGGCATCTAACTTCATCTCGGAGTCTTATTTCCAATTTCTCAAAGCCTGACCTTTTAAGCGCACTTAAATTGATCAGAATCACTAAAACCGTATAAACATGGACACAAGTTGTTTTCATACCTTGGCTATTGTGAATAATGCTGCTATGAACATTGGGGTGCATGTATCTTTTTGAATTTTCTTCAGATAAATACTTAAAAGTGGAATTACTGAGTCATATGGTAGTTCTATTTTTAAATTTTTGAGGAACCTGCATACTGTTTTCCATAGTGGCTGCACTAATTTGCATTCCCACCAAGTGTAGGAGGGTTCCCTTTTCTACACATTCTTGCCAGCACTTGTTACTTCTTGTTTTTTTTGAAGATAGCCGTTCTGACAGGTGAGGTGATAGTTAATTGTGGTTTTGATTTTCATTTCCCTGATGATGAGTGATGTTGAGCGTCTATTCATGTGTCTGATGGCCATCTGTATGTCTTCTTTGGAAAAATGCCTATTCAGGTCTTCTGCCCATTTTTTGATTGGGTGGTTTGTTTGTTTTCATATTGAGTTGTATGAGTTCTTTATATATTTTGGATATTAACCCCTTATTGGACGTATCATTGGCAAATATCTTCTTCCATTCGGTAGGTTCCCTTTTCGTTTTGTTGATGGTTTCCTTTGCTGTGCAGAAGCTTTTTAGTTTGTGTCCCATTTGTTTATTTTTGCTTTTGTTGCTTTTGCTAGAGGAGTCAGATCCAAAAATTATTGCTAAGACCAATGTCAAAGAGCATAGTGCCTAAGTTTTCTTCTCAATTCTATGGTTTCAGGGCTTACATTTTAAGTCTTTAGTCAATTTTCAGTTTATTTTTGTATCTGGTGTGGGAAAATGTTCTAGTTTCATTCTTCTACGTGTAGCTGTCCAGTTTTCCCAGCACCACTTATCAAAGAGGCTGTCCTTTCCCCATTATGTATTCTTGCCTCCTTTGCCATATTAATTGATCATGTACATGCGGGCTTATTTCTAGGCTCTGTATTTTATTCCATTGATCTATGTGTCTGTTTTTGTGCTAGCACCATACTGTTCTGATTACTATAACTGTGTAATATCATTTCAAATATGGGAGTGTGGTACCTCCAGCCTTGTCCTTTTTTCTCAAGATTGCTTTGGCTATTTGGGATCTTTTGTGATTCCATACAAATTTTAGGATTATAAAGTTCTGTGAAAAATGCCATGGGGGGCTTCCCTGGTGGCGCAATGGCTG